CGATCTACTTTTATATGACTGAAATTTGATTGATTTATCAGTTTTTGTAATTTGATATTGTATTTGTTCTTTCTGTAGTGTTACGTCGTTTAAGTCGTTATTTGTTGTAATTTTTAGTCTAACCGGAATTGAAATAATTGATAGAATAGTAATTTTTTTTGTCAAATGCGTTGTTTTAATGAATGTTTTGTGGATCTTCTATATTAATCAAGTCTTTGATTGAATTTGATATTTACGAATTGAATTTCTAAATTTGATTGAATCAACTCACTGAGTAAGTCGGCTATAGTTCTTATATGTTTGATTTTTGATAAAGAAATTAAATAATAAAATGCAAACTTCAAATTTTTATGTTTGGAAAAACGAAAACCGAAAATAAGAAACGAATTTGTACAGGATGCTCATATCTAGTCAATGTCTGATTAGATCCTCAATTCATTACATACACGGACAAGCTTGTTCTGTGCTTGAATACCGAATGGCAAATACTATTGGTTGATCCTTGGATTATTTTTTCAAGGACACACCTATAGCCATGGCTGTGAAGTTCTATACTGCTATCCTGAGATTGGTTGAGAACTATAACACGTCTCATTAAATAATTATTCTCTTGTATTTTTAAAATTAAATTTGTTGGCGTTGAAATCCTTATCCCCAAAAGATCGAATCCCCATAAGAATCGATCTTCTGGGGATGAATGGATTTTATCTGAATGTCTTGCAGTCATTCTGCAATGAGGGTCTTCTGATTCTTCCATTGTTGCTCATTTGGATTATTTTCACTTATTCATTTGAGAGCTCTTCTGAATTTCCTCAATTTAAGAATAAGAAAACTTTACCAGCATTGAAAGATTGCCAATGCTAGTCGGATTCTTTTTTAAAATACATTGTCACTCTGAATTTTATTTTTGGGTGTAACAGGCAAACAAAATGGGGTTGTCTTTTACCAAGCTTTTCAGCCGTCTATTTGCCAAGAAAGAGATGCGGATTCTTATGGTGGGTCTTGATGCTGCTGGTAAGACCACCATATTATACAAGCTCAAGCTGGGAGAAATAGTTACAACCATTCCTACAATTGGTATGTCCCCTCGTATACATATCCTTTAAGTTTGATCCCATATTAATTTGGTCCAACTCTTAGTTTAAAAAGAACAATATTTAGCTGCTGCTTTTTAACCGATGTAATCCATATTGATGGAATAACTTCAAATATGGGATTAAAGGATCTTTATGGGAGAAATACTTTCTCGGTGTGTTCCATACTTTAAAATTTTTGACACCTCTGTTATGCCCTTTTCGTTCCATCTTGTCTGTGTGGCGTGCATGACTAATTGAGAGAGAAAGAGAGGAGAAGAGCAACGTCAAAGAAGATGTCGCTTGTTTTTCTTGTAGCTTGTCTTTCTACATTTTTATTTCTATCTGTTCCAGCTAGTAAGTTGGAATGTTAGTGCAACTATATATAAATCCTGATCTAAAAAAGGTTTGATAAGCTACTACCCCCAACCAAGAAGTAGACAAATAAATAAAAAGGGAAAAAAAAAATATCTCTATGCATGTGCCTGCAGATCAACATCTATGCTACTGATGGTTGTAGTGCGTAGGTAGACTGAGAGTTTATGGCTTATTTTTATGACCAATGCACCAATTTTAAGCTGTCAATTTCACTAATTACTTATGGTCTTGTTTAACAGTTTTGACAATAGATATCAAGTTGTTTTGTATTTGACATAAAGATTCTAGGCATGCTGTTACATGTGTGCTTTCAATCACACGTAGATACAATGTGCCACCACCCCCTCTTAGTTACAGAACTTATTTGTATTTCTCTCCAGGATTCAATGTGGAGACAGTGGAATACAAGAATATCAGCTTCACTGTCTGGGATGTTGGGGGTCAAGACAAGGTATAAGATGTTATGTACCTTATTTTTAAAATTTTTCAGAATATGCTAATGTAATAGGGTGCCGGTTTGGCTTGTAAAAATGTCAAGTGACTTCCATTGCTAAAATGTTGCAGTAAGTAATAGGAAGAACATTGTCTACTAGTGTGATCTAAGTCTTATGTTATTAAATATGTTTTCGATTTTGCTTTTGATGTTTTTTCATGGTCATTTGGTACCCTTGTATTCTATCGGTATGTCAACTGCACTGTAGAAATTGATCTTTCTGGTGGATTATTAGCAAATGCATGAGAAGACTGGCTTCTTTTTAAAACTTGTACAGTTTGCTAACGAATTAAAAGGCCATCCTGTACCCACTGCATGGTTGTGTTTTACTGGATTTCTATCATAACTATGCATTTGTGTAAATGTGTTTCTTGACATGCTCTCTTCGATAATTAAGAAATACAACATACATTGCCAATTATGGTTGATTCTGAACAAAAGTCGAGTGTTTCTTTATGTTAGTAAGCTGCCATCTGATGCACCGCAATTTTGCCATTGATGTAGATCCGACCATTGTGGAGGCATTACTTTCAGAACACTCAAGGGCTGATCTTCGTTGTTGATAGTAATGATCGTGATCGTGTTGTTGAGGCTAGGGATGAGCTGCATAGGATGTTGAATGAGGTAATCAAACTAATTTACAATATCTAATTGTCTTTATGTAGGACTCTCCTAAACATAGGCTACCTTTCGAGTTTGAAATTTAATATGATACCTGCCACTTTTTGATTTCATTGAAATTGACATGACTCGCTTGATTTAGGTTGAGTTTTTAAGAGTCTGCTTACTGAAAGGGATGTTAATAGTTTTAAGACACGTGATCTGTTTTTGACAACAACTATTGTTAATGCCTTGGTAGGACGAACTGAGGGATGCAGTGCTTCTAGTTTTCGCTAACAAACAAGATCTTCCAAATGCCATGAATGCTGCTGAGATAACTGACAAGCTTGGACTTCACTCTCTCCGTCAACGCCATTGGTACTCTCTCTCTCTCTCTCCCTCTCCCTCCCCGTCACCGTATCCTAGATTTTAGAAAAAAGGAATCTGACTCCTGGATATATACCCGTATTGGACACCCACACCCACACCCAAGTCCAAGCAACATAGGTGTGCAGTGGGTGGCCACAATTTTTTGGAGGGAGAAATTGTCTCTGTGCGTCGACATTTATCTTGTGTATCTTGACTACTGACCGCTTTCTTGTGCATTCTCACAGGTATATCCAGAGCACATGTGCCACCTCTGGGGAAGGGCTTTATGAGGGGCTGGACTGGCTCTCCAACAATATCGCCAACAAGGTACGTTCTTCGTGATTGCCCTGCACAAGCCGATTATGCTGTCTTATATTTCATTGACTTAATACTAATAGGACGTTCTTGCTATTTTTTATGTTATGTCAGGCATAGAAGAGACAATATTTGATGATTATGATAGCTTGACTCTCGTCAAAGAGGAGATTGTCTTTCTTTTCCTGGGTCTTTCTTATATCTTCTTGAAAATTCCGTACTTTGATCAGTTTATTGTTTTCTTAGATATTTGTCATTTCTGTCGTGTAGATTTATATTCAAAATCCTGTAATTTCAGCATTCTTGAATACACTTTGTACCTTCTTGGATTGGTTAATTTTGAAAATGACGCTCTTCTGCTCAGTGATAGAATTGGAAAATAGTACATTTTGAATTTCACAAGCCCATTTGATCAAAGCTAATATAATCAAGGTAAATTATATTAGCAGGGAATCTTCACTTGAAAATTTCAATGAAATCAATTTTTTAAAGTTTTTGAGCTTTGCCTCGAAGAGTTGGTGGAAGGATAGAGAGACTTATGATTTTACAATCCCTAGAGATGTCGCGCGGATTTTATCTCTGGATCTTGAATTAAAATTAAACACTTGACATGATTAAAGCTCAACCGAGTCATGGTCTTACACTCGTGGCCTTGAGATATGGTCTCAAGGTCGTGTCAAAAGGGCGAGTGGTCCAGGCTGGTTAGACATGTAGTAAACGATGGGTTTACAAGGGATTGGGCTACTCTACCTAATAGGTTAACATTTTAGGATTGAACTCCTATTTCATACGAAACATTGATGGACCGTAGGTTATACCGGTGTGATTATCTGGGATCATATTTGAGTGCTAGTGGCTTCTAGCTCTAAGCGCACGACTGGAAGCTTCTCCTTGGCAGATGCCGAAGCTCTAGAGCTCAGAGACGATCTTTTGCTTGCTAAAGAGGTCGGATTTGGTCGAATGTGACTTCACTCGGGTGGTTCAAAAATTTCTTTCCAAATTTAGTCTAGCTCTGAATGCTTGGATTTTATTTGATATTGTTGCATTGATGAGGAAGTGAACAGTTGCTCACTTGCTCTTGCTGTATTATTCATTCGGATGGGAATAAGACATCCCATGATTTCACTACGTTACTGGTACAATCAATTTTGTGTATTGTTGTTCGTGGTTTATTTCGTTAGGCAACTTATTGCAATATAAATACACGATTTGCATGCTTAACATCAATACAAGGTTTTCATATCACATGGTAGAGGTGTAAATTGAGTTAGAGCTGCACTTGGCCCAAATCGACCAAGCCCACCAGTCCAGCATGGGCCAAGTAGGGCTTCAAACTTTTTGAATTAGGGTCGACGTCGCCCATTTTACACTCCTAACCTGTGGCAGCAACCATATATTTCAGTGCATGGGTGATACAAAATGTTTTTATTATGTAACTTGCAAAGAATGTATACTATAAGAAACAAATACACTTAGGCACTGTTTGATTGTGACATTTGTCACATTCAAGGAAAAAGAATTTCACTTTGGCCGTTTGATTGCAACGTGGAAATGGAAACCGAATTCTAAGGTATAACTACTTTAAGCTGCATTTTTTTTTGTTTTCATGGAAAACGAAATTCTATGGGTTTGGTGGGTTTTTATTTTCCAACTAACATGGAATTCCTTTCCACATTTGCTTATCAAACGGACCCTTAGAAAATTCTATTATGAGGATATAAAAGCAAAAGGAAACGAGCTACAACAACTTATTTTTGGTAAAAGTGCAGTTATTATCTTAGGACCCTGTTCGAGCTTAAGACGAAGCTTTCTTCACCAGCAATGGTTGAAGTCAGCCTCCCAGCAGCCCACCCATTATTCAATGCACGGACAGCAGCACGGGCACGATCACCAGCCACGCGAGTGCCATCAACTTGTTTCTCATATTCTGAAAGACCATTTGCCTTCCTCTCCTTCCTTCTTTTCCGCTCCTCGTCTCTTTCTTTCCTCAGCCAACTCTCCACAGTTCTCTGCAAATCCAATTTAACAAGGCATTGAACACAAGAATTCCGGAACTGCTAGTTGTATTGACTTAAAAAGTAACTTTTAAGCTGAAATATATGATCTCTTAAGAAGTTATTCACGAGTACTTTTACTTCTTTTTTAGGCTTAGCCAAACATGCTCTTAACTATTTACACAGGCATTTTATTGAGGATTTAGATGAAGAATTGATTTCCACAGGCGGAGGAACTGACCATCAGTGACAAATTGCTAATCTCCTTAACTTTATGCATTGGCATCGCCAATTGCAAGTTTCCATGTGCCACATAAACCTGAAATAGTGCGAAAACTAGAATTAGAAGACGAGCCAAAATACAAATATAAAAGAACTTAAGAAACAGAACTCACAATATGAGATGGCCAATCCTCAAGACCATCGAAGATATGTGTGGCATAGACAATTGTAGCGCCTCGTTCATCACATTCCTTCTTTAGAAATTTTAGAAGATCAGCCCTTGCAAGCACGTCTAGGTCAACAGTGATCTCATCAAGCAGAAGAACCTTGACCACAGGAGGCATAACATAAAAGAATTTATTTGTAGAACAACTCAATGAAGAAGGTAAATGGTACTTGTAAAATTTTCCAAAAAGTTGCATATACCTTGAATGGCTTTAAAAGACCCATACATATTTGAACTCTCCTCCTTTGACCATCGGATACTTTATGCATTCTCCAAGATAGGTCAACATCTAAAACCTACATCAGCAGATCACAACAGAAAAAATCACTTATCTGCATACTTTCCAATAAGTGAAAAAACGAATCAATTATCCTCTTACAACAAAGGATGAAAAACCTCGTACTTGACTCTGTGCTAGACAAAGTCATCTCTTGGTGTATGAGCAGATTCTTATTTCTGCCTCTAGAAATGTGATATTTGAACCACTCTTCAAGCACTAGTTTGGGCGTCATTAGTCTCCAATCTTGTTTTATATTGACTCAAATTTGGCAGTTAGTTCGTTTTATGTTTTGGTTGTAGCAATAAAAGAAGAATCCGAACTTAACAGGCTCTTTTACTTAAAGCTGTCTGAAGCAAACTTGAAGATATTTACTCCGAATTAATTTTGGGGTGTCCACTTTATTTCCACTTTTCTCAACTTTAGTTTTGTCGCATGCAGGTCCACATTAATTTCCTAACATCAACCAGTGTCGCTGGTCAATTAGGTTGATTGGGAAGGTTTGGCAGAAGTCCTCTATAAGGTCCTTCCTCCCAATGAGGGAAGTTAGTTGCATCTTTTCGAACACAAACAACCACAATTCCAAAACCAAGACAAATTTTAAAGTCTTCAGTACGCAAAACAAATTTTCTTGCCTACTCATACCTTTATTAGTTCATCTCGCCTTCGGGAATCGACACCTGCAACCCCATATATCATTTTCTCAGCAGAAACATCCATCTGGATTGCAACCTCAAACCCAGCAAAAGCAACTTCTCGTCTCCACTGGAAATACACAGGCTTGCATTGGTCAACAACTATATATTATTCATAATTATTTAACAACAGAATTTAGATTTTGCAATCATATAAAGATCACTCAACAAGTATGCATAATATCTACATAGAACTTCCCAAACCAAAACCAAAACCAAAAGATAATTACGCGAAATAGTCCACTAAATCATTTTTCCTTGCTCCAGCTAAATAGCTAAGATAAGTTTTCATATATTCCCAGATACAGAATACTGAGTTTGCAACATAATTAAGTTACAAGGCTCCACATTACTTCGATTTAAATTTTAAAACTCAATTCATCCTCAAAATTGAATTCAATACTTGGCAAAAATTCATTCTGAAAGCATGTGCACATAAATATATGTGCATTCACAAGGATTCAAAGCAGATGAAAATGAGAAAACATAACAGTAAAAGAACAAGAAAGACAACAACAAACCTCGCCACCAAGATAACAGAGGTCACCAGAAACTGTCAATGCAGTGTCGTGAAATGCAGATCTTCCCAGCACCTTCACCATATTCGGCTCCACCATATGCTTCCCTCCAAGTATTTTCAGTATTGTAGTTTTCCCTACAAACCCATGAACAGTTAAACCAAACCCATTACTCCGAATTCACCAAACTACATGAAATCAGCAAAGGTAAAACGTAGTTTTCTTTAGCATCGCAGAAATGATTAAACCAAACCCATTTCCTCTAAATTCAATAAACTACAAGAAATTAAAGGGAAAAAACCATACTTTTCCCTACTGTCCGACAAACAATTAAACCAAATTACTCCAAATTCATCAAACTACATAAAATCAGCAAAGATGAACCGTATTTTTTCTTTCGATCCCAGAAATAATTAAACCAAACCCATTCCTCAAAATTCACCAAACTACAAGAAATTAGAAAAAAAAGAAGGTAATTTCCTTACAATCCAAGAAATAATTAAACCAAACCCATTCTTCCAAATAAATCAAACTACAAGAAATCAGCCAAAATAAACCGTAGTTTCGCCTACAATCCAGTAATAATTAAACCAAACCCATTCCTCTAAATTCAACAAACTCCAAGAAATTAGGGAAAAAAAAACGTAGTTTCCCTTAAAATCCCAGAAAAATTAAACCAACCCCATTACTCCAAATTCACCAAACTACAGGAAATCATTAAAAAAAACCCATTAAAAAAGAGTGAAAAAGGGAAGAACCAGCGCCATTGGATCCAACAAGAAGGCAGCGATCTCTGGGATTGAGAGTAAGACTGAAATCATCGATCAAAGGGGCGGACCCAGGTGGAGGATGGCCATCAATTCCGGGGTAGGTGAACCTCAACTTGTTGATCTCCACCGTCGGTAGAGATTTCTCCTCCTTCATCGCCATTTCCTTCGCTTTTAATTTAGACGACGATTGTAAATTTGGTGGGAATTTATAAGCTGAATTTGGTAGTTAGCATAGGTCGTTTGAATCGTGGCAGTTGTTGGGACACTCAATGGAAAATTTATTTTCTTATTTGCACAAATGGTCCTCAATAAGGACTTTCTGCACGAAAAAGGACTTTTCATTTCATTTTTGACAATAAAATTCCATTTCAACCTTTGGTTGTTCAAGTGGTCCTTACCGTCGTTCAATTAACTCCATTAAAGGGATGCGTACGTCACACATGGTTCTTTCATAAGGGTAAAATAGTCTCTGCAGTATTTGTTGGGGACCATTTTTGCACATAAGCAAATTTATTATTAGGGACTTGAAGTTGTCTTTTCCCCATGATTTAAGTATATAAGTTTGAGATTACCTGTATTAAACCGAAACATCTAAATTTATCTAGATGCGATCGCATCGTGATAGACTTTTTTTCTTTTAAAAAAAATCTCATCAACCCTTAAAATTGAATTCGGCGTCGTTCAACACCGGAGAGCAAGCCATGTCTACACCATCATTTTCATATGTAGCGCAACTCGACATATTTGAACACTATTTTAAATTGGTGTTGACAAAAGGAAACCATTTGTAAATAGTTAACAAGAAAGTAACATCCATAAAGGTAACTATCATAGAGGTAACATTCAATATTTCTAAAGCCCAAATACACCAACCAAAGCTATAAAGAACTTCATAAACTCGTTCCCAATAAACAAACTTTGGAGTGGCCATCTTCATAAAGATGAGCCAATCCAACTACTTAAAACTCCCACAATTCAGCAACCTACACAAACCAAATCTAAGTGGCCGAAGGGGCGGCGATAAAATGAACAACACCAGCCTCTGTCAGTGCCACTGTCAACTTAGCCTTGGCCACTTGACCACCGGCTGCTGTGGCAGCTAACGGGGCATTGGCGATATAATTCAATGTCTCATCGTTATAAATGTCCCACCATTTCTTGACTAGCATCTTGATATCCTCCCTGTCCATGTGCTCTTCTTTTCCAGTGTACCTCCATGGCTTGGACCCTGCAGCACAGTAGTGGACAACCTTAACTTGGTCGAGCTTTACGTTCTCAGGATGCCGCCACAACATGGCCAAAACCAAGTTGTAATTGTTGGGAATTGGCTTGTAAATGTCCTTAAAGAATACGTTCAAGAAATCCTGCAAATTACTCAAATTTAGTACACAAATTAAAGGATTGTAAATAAAGAGCTATTCGTAGTGAAACCAAAAAAATTAAGGGCCAAAAGCAAGGGCTCGAATGTCTGTTACGAATTGGTCCACTAAATATACGAGACTTTATATATATAT